TGGTGCGGTGTGTAAACATCGCCACTGAGGAGACAAAGGCGGTCGGGCGTGGTGCTGGCCACCCACCCCCTCGTGTACCGTTCCGGCCTTCATAGGCGCTCGCTAACAGCACTTGCCCCTACAGTCTGTTAAGGTAAAGTCACGTTGATATAAAATAAAATAAATCACGACGTTTCGGGCGCAACACAAGCGTCCATCATCAGGTGGGAAAACATGGTCTGCTGCATGCTTTCCCACCTGATGATGGACGCTTGTGTTGCGCCCGAAACGTCGTGATTGATTTAATTTCATACCTACGCGACTTTTCCGCAAGAACCAAAGAGTATGGATTCCTGCAGTCACGAATGCTTCAAATTAAGATGACTCTGTTAAGGCTATACGGGGGACCTTTGTCTTTTGTGTGATGAGCGGTGGTGCAGCGGTTAGCTGCGCTACGAACCCAGCGACCCGAGTTCGATTCCCGCTCACGGCCAACACCGGTGACAATAATCTGAACCCATCCTGGGCCTCCCCTAGGTCGACTCAGCCTCAAACGAGTACCCGATGCGGTGTGTAGTAAACATCGCCACTGCGGGAGACGAAAACGGCCGGGCGTGTTGCTGGCCACCCACCCCCTCGTGTGCCGTGATGGTCTTCATAGGGGCTGCTACTCGCAAAACAGCACTTGCCCCAGCAGTCTGCCGAGGGCTTTACGGGGGATCTTTGTCTTTATTGGCCGTTAATGTAAACGGTCACAGTGGATAATCAGCGCCCATTTAGCGAGATAAAGGTTAATGCAGACATCCATGGGAGTCAATTACTGCAGAACGCCACGGCAAACATGGGGCAGCTCGTATCTCTATAACCCACGCCGCGTGTTAGTGTGTAAGGTGTGTGTGTGTACCACGTCGCGTGGTAGTGTGTAGGTGTGTGTGTACCACGCTGCGTGTTAGTGTGTAAGGTGGGTGTGTGTACCACGCCACGTGCTAGTGTGTAGGTGTGTGTGTGTACCACGTCGCGTGGTAGTGTGTAGGTGTGTGTGTACCACGCCGCGTGTTAGTGTGTAAGGTGTGTGTGTGTACCACGCCACGTGCTAGTGTGTAGGTGTGTGTGTGTGTGTGTACCACGTCGCGTGGTAGTGTGTAGGTGTGTGTGTACCACGCCGCGTGTTAGTGTGTAAGGTGTGTGTGTGTACCACGCCACGTGCTAGTGTGTAGGTGTGTGTGTGTGTACCACGCCACGTGTTAGTGTGTAGGTGTGTGTGTACTACGCCACGTGTTAGTGTGTAGGTGTGTGTACCACGTCGCGTGGTAGTGTGTAGGTGTGTGTGTACCACGTCGCGTGGTAGTGTGCCACGTAAGACGGTCGATTCCAGAGAGAGAGGGAGCGAGAGACAACGATTGGAGTTATTAGTCCATCAGTGTGCGTGCGTGTGCGTGCGTGTGCCATTCTCTGCTAAGCAGTGTTTAGTGCGGAGCGGTGGCGCAGCGGTTAGGGCGCTGCACTGCGAACCCGGCATCCCGAGTTCGATTCCCGCTCACGGCCAATTATATCTGAACCGGTCGTGGGCCTCCACTAGGTCGATTAATCCTCAATTGTATAAAAATCGCCACTGTAGGTGCTTCGTAGGTGTAACTCGCTAATAAGCACTTGCCCCCAGCAGTATGTTAAGTCTATACGTAGAGACAGATCCCCTTTGCAATTTTCACCCTGTCATCCCCCCGCCCCTACACCCCCCCCCCGACTCCCAAGCTCTTATAATAACACATGAATATCTTGATTTGAAGCTTTCGTGACTGCAGGAATTCATATTCTTTGGGTCTTTCGGTAAAGCCACGTAGATATAAAAAATAAAAATAAAATATCACGACGTTTCGATCGCAACACAAGCAATCGTCAAGTATAGCTCTCTATATATATTTTTTCACCTGATGACGATTGCTTGTGTAGTGGAGTTGCGATCGAAACGTCGTGACATGTTTTTTTTTATATCTACGTGGCTTTACCGAAAGACCCAAAGAAAATGAATAACCATGCTCAATTGAAACAAAAAAACGTGCTAACTAATCAATCAATCACCGCCAACTTTGACAATCTTGCCGTTATGAGTTTTTTTATGGCCCCAGCTCCCACCCCACCATCCCCTTCGTGATGCCCTCCGCTCATCGAGACGGACACCGCGAATGGGCACGGCGAGATGCCCCCCAAAGAGGGCGCCAAGGAGGAAGGAGATTCGTGTAGCCTCACTGACGAGACGCTGACCTAAACGAGGGCCGGGGGGGGGGGGGGGGCTTTTCTGTTGTTGTTTTAATTAGGTTGGGTTTGACTAGCTGCCTGGGGACGAGACAGTTCGGCAAAGAGGCGGCGGAAACATGAACTGAAAAGTCCGTGCAGCAAAAAAGATGAATCAGAGGTAGAGGCACGCTTAACAACTTACATTGAATAGGGGGAAACACGCGCACACACACACACACGGACGAGCGGAAACATACGCCGGTTGCGGATGATTAATGAGATTTACATTTATTACCGTTGTGATAATTAAATGCGTTATCGCGCGCTGCGGTTTTGATGTCACGTTTAAAACACGTGGAGTCTGCGCCAGTCTTCGGTCGACTGGGTGACACGTGGGGCCAGGTGTTTTGCTCACTTCTGGCCAACTGGCCCTACAATACCTATAACTGGAAGTGAGAATGAATGAAACGTTGGTGTAGCGGTGGGCACTACGCTGCGCTATGAACCCAGCACAGAGCAACTTTGATTCCCGCTCACGGCCAACACCCAGCGAAGATTATCTGAATCGGTCATAGGCCTCCCCCTAGGTTGACTCAGCCTCAAATTAGTATCCGGTGCTGTGCGTAAACATGGCGACTGGGGAGACAAAGGCGGTCGGGGGTGGTGCTGGCCATCCACTTGTGTGCCATTACTGTCTTCATAGGTGCTCGCGAACAGCCCTTGCCCCTAACAGTCTGTTAAGGCTATATATATACGGGGGGATCTTTGTCTTTGTTTGAAGTTAAATTACACGGCGGGATCGTTAGGGATGGCAAAGGCTTGGTGAGGCTTTCATCTAGCAGTGGATTGGCCGTGGCTGATGATTTCTCATGACTGCCTCACGTATGCATGCCCGTTTTACACGGTGTACATTATATATTGAATAAAACAAAGACAAAGATCCCCCCGAATAGCCTTAACAGACGGTTGGGGCAAATGCCGTTAGCGAGCACCTATGAAGACCGGAAGTGCACACGAGGGGGTAGTTGGCCAGCAGCACGACCGGCCGCCTTTGTATCCCCAGTGGCGATGCTTACACATCGCACCAGTTGCTCATTTGAGGCTAAGTCGACCGAGGGCAGGCCCAGGACCGGTTCAGATAATTGTCACCGGTGTTGGCCGTGAGCGGGAATCGAACTCGGGTCATCCCAAGTTCGTAGCGCAGCGCGCTAACCGCTACATCACCGCTCCCCCCACACACACGCACGTGTATAGATACACCCTTTTGTAAATACACTGCTTGGGTAGTGTGTGGGTTCGGGTTGTTCATTTGACCATACTTCACCACTCCAGTCAGTGCGGCGAGCGGAGACTCAGTTGGCAGATAAACTCGGCACTGCCTCCCCACCCCCCCTCCCCCCCCCCTTCTTTTCCACCCACCACCCTCGTGAAACGCGTTCGCCAGCACCATCCGGGCCACCTCAAGTCGAGCCATCGACGGTGGCCCACATTGTTGGCGAGGAGAAAGCCCTACTCGCTGGGCCACTCGAGACTCGTTTTCGAGAGGGTCTTGCCGAGGTTATCGCAGACACTTTCGATTCTGCCGCTGCTGCTGCTGTGTGGGCGATCCCCAAATCGAGTAGCCCTTGAAGGTCATTCTTGGAGAATTTGGGAATGTTTCGGCCAACAATAACCGGTTGCAATGCATTGTTCATTTTGTTGCTGTTGTTGTTTAGCTATGGGAGGAGGAGGACAGCGGAGAACCCGGCGAAACCCCATGCAGTACAAAGGGAGAGATCACGCTGATTGGCACGCAGAAAGGGGAATCGAACCCAGGCTCTTCTTGCTGCGAGGCTCAGGTGTCACCACCGCGCTGCCACTACCCGCTGCTGCCCTTAACCATCCGTACCACCTCAAATTCCTCCTCCAGCCATCGGCCGATGAAGACATCAACACCACCACCACCAACAACATCAACACCACCAATACCACTACAACCGCCATTCGTCACTAAGTGACGGTGACGTCACCCCGGCTGCCTGTGCCAGGCCAGGTGCACTTTGAGGCCACGTGAAGACTTCACGTGGCCTCCAGGGGTGTACTGAACTCCGCGCCTGGGGCACCAATCAATCCGAGATCGGTGCTACTCCGCGATGTCGAAACGCCAAACATCAGCATAACAAAAATTCTGATTTGAAGCTTTCGTGACTGCAGGAATCCACACTCTTTGTTTCTCTCGGTAAAGTCACGTAGGTAGAAAAATAAAATAAATGTGACAGATTCTATTTTATTTTATTTTTCTACCTACGTGACTTTACCGAAAGAACCAAAGAGTATAGAAAAAAAATCCGTTATCCAAATATTCAACTCTGAATATTGCATCGCGTTCAGCTCGTCGAGATGAGTCGATTGCCGCATCGCCGACCATTTACAGACTAAAAATGACTGCATCACGGACATTGTGCAAGAGTCGGGCCAACCCGGGGTACCGCCGTAAGGTTCAAGTGTCGAAGACTCGCCGACAGGAGGAGGTCACGGGACAGACCCGGCAGGTGCCATGGGTTGGCTGACTGAGATCACCGATAGATGCACCAACAGCTGTACCGCCCACTGTGCCATCAACACCACCACCAACATCAACACCAACAACATCAAAACATGAACAAAAACAAAAACACCAACAACATCAAAACATGAACAAAAACACCACCACCACCAACATCAATATCACCAACACCACCACCACCAACAACAACATCAACAACACCGCCGCCACCACCAAGAAGATGAGGAGGAGGCCCACCCACCTTCCGTGTGCACGGCCGACACGTAGGTCCAATTGTACTTCCTCACGATGTCCAGCATGGCCCTGGCCTGCAGCGTGTCCGAGGGCACCACCCTCATGAAGTACTTGTAGTGAGACTTGTCGCTCAGGTCCTTGCTGGTGGCCGAGTAGGCGATCTGCGGGATGTTGAACAGCTGCAGGAGGTTCTGCACCTGGATGGCCATGGAGCTTGAGCCGGGCCCGATGAGACCAACGATGGGCCTCTTCAAACTTGGCGGCGCTGCGATGCAACGAGCGGCCGCGGTGGCGGTGGCGGTGACGGGACCGCTCAGCCGGGCCCCTACGTGGCTCGCGTGTCCGTCACCGCGGCCTCCGACGGCGGCGGCGTCGTCTCCTCCACCCGAGGTGAGCGAGTCCCTGATGAACTCGATGCTCTGCTCGAGCGCCACGGCCGAGTGCCAACACGAGTCCCTGATCTCGCAGCCGAGCGAGATGCCGGGCAGCAGCGCGGGGTCTGCGTTGATGCGCTCCAGCGTGTGGAACATCGCCTCCACCCGCTGGATGCCGTACTGCTCGCGGATCTCGCCGCACTTGCGCTCCGACACCTTGTCGGCGGGGGGTTGGTGGTGCACCGAGAAGAGGGCGCCGATGATGATGTCGCCGTCCTTGCGGGCGACCACGCGGCGTGCCGGCGAAGCGCGGGCGCCGAAGGGACCCAGAAGCCATCGGCGGTAGTCCACGAGTCCTCCTCCTGCTGCTGCTGTTGCTGCTTCATCACCACCGCCACCGTCATCATCGTAATCACCGTCGCCTCCTCCTCGTCCGGCCCCTCGTCGTCCGTCACGCATGTCGCGGCGGATGAGGAGGACGGTCGCCGCGAGCCACAGCGCGAGCAAGAGAGAGGAGGCGGGCGACAGTGCGCGCATCTTAATCCGAGTGCGGAGCGCGCGGAGAGGAGCGGCGGCGAGAGAGGCGGCGGAGACGGGCGCGGTAATGTCACGGGCGGGAGGAGGGGGGGGGGGTGGGTTGGTTGGGGGGGGGGTGGGAACGGGGGGGGGGGGGGTGCGCGAGCGACCTTCACCGGAGACGAGAGGCTGCGTGAAGCGCGCAGAGACGCGCGCGAGTGTTTACCCTCCCAGAGAGAGAGAGAGGAGAGAGGGAGGAGAGAGAGACGGCGTTGGCTCTCTCTCTCACACGCGCTGTCTGGGATGAGAGAGAGAGAGGGCGATACGCGTGCTGTCTCCTCATCTCCCTCTCTCTCCCCCTCCCAAAGACGCGTTTTCGTCCTCCCACGCTCTATCGTGATGTGTGTTACTGTGTGTGTCTGTGCGCGCGCCTGTGTAGGGAGCGGTAGAGTAGTGGTCAGCGCCCTGGAATTACAAACGTGGCGAGGCGGGTTCCATTCCCGCTCACGGCCAACACCTGTGACGATTATCTGAACCGTTCCTGGACCTCCCCTAGGTCGACTCAGCCTCAAATGAGTAGCTGGTGCGGTGTGTAAACATCTCTCCCCTCCGCCCCTCTCCCCTCCGCCCCCCCCTCTCCTCCGCACGAACACCCCGCCCCCGCTCCTCCTCCGCCCCCGCCCCTCCGCCCCCCCCTTCACCCCCAAACTCCTGCGCCGCTTTGCAAAGAAATGAAGAGAAGATCCCAGAATGACTCTTCTCTCTCCCTACCTCCTCCCGTCTTTAACTTCTAGAGAGACGGAGTGAAGATCACAGAATGACTCTTCTCTCTCCCTACCTCCTCCCGTCTTTAACTTGTAGAGAGACGGAGTGAAGATCACAGAATGAGTCTTCTCTCTCCCTACCTCCCGTCTTTAACTTGTAGAGAGACGGAGTGAAGATCACAGAATTACTCTTCTCTCTCCCTACCTCCTCACCTTTAACTTGTAGAGAGACGGAGTGAAGATCCCAGAATGACTCTTCTCTCTCCCTACCTCCTCACCTTTAACTTGTAGAGAGACGGAGTGAAGATCACAGAATGACTCTTCTCTCTCCCTACCTCCTCACCTTTAACTTGTAGAGAGACGGAGTGAAGGTCACAGAATGACTCTTCTCTCTCCCTACCTCCTCACCTTTAACTTGTAGAGAGACGGAGTGAAGATCCCAGAATGACTCTTCTCTCTCCCTGTCTCCTCCCACCTTTAACTTGTAGAGAGACGGAGTGAAGATCACAGAATGACTCTTCTCTCTCCCTGCCTCCTCTCACCTTTAACTTGCAGAGAGACGGAGTGAAGATCACAGAAATGAGTCTTCTCTCTCCCTACCTCCTCCCTCTTCAACTTGTAGAGAGACGGAGTGAAGATCACAGAATGAATCTTCTCTCTCCCTGCCTCCTCCCACCTTTAACTTGTAGAGAGACGGAGTGAAGATCACAGAATGACTCTTCTCTCTCCCTACCTCCTCTCACCTTTAACTTGTAGAGAGACGGAGTGAAGATCTCAGAATGACTCTTCTCTCTCCCTACCTCCTCCCGTCTTTAACTTGCAGAGAGACGGAGTGAAGATCACAGAATGACTCTTCTCTCTCCCTGCCTCCTCTCGCCTTTAATTTGTAGAGAGACGGAGTGAAGATCACAGAATTACTCTTCTCTCTCCCTACCCCCCCCCCCCACCTTTACCTTGTAGAGAGACGGAGTGAAGATCACAGAATGACTCTTCTCTCTCAGCCTCTTCCCACCTTTAACTTGTAGAGAGACGGAGTGAAGATCACAGAATGAGTCTTCTCTCTCCCTGTCTCCTCTCACCTTTAACTTGTAGAGAGACGGAGTGAAGATCACAGAATGACTCTTCTCTCTCCCTACCTCCTCACCTTTAACTTGTAGAGAGACGGAGTGAAGATCCCAGAATGACTCTTCTCTCTCCCTGTCTCCTCCCACCTTTAACTTGTAGAGAGACGGAGTGAAGATCACAGAATGACTCTTCTCTCTCCCTGCCTCCTCTCACCTTTAACTTGCAGAGAGACGGAGTGAAGATCACAGAAATGAGTCTTCTCTCTCCCTACCTCCTCCCTCTTCAACTTGTAGAGAGACGGAGTGAAGATCACAGAATGAATCTTCTCTCTCCCTGCCTCCTCCCACCTTTAACTTGTAGAGAGACGGAGTGAAGATCACAGAATGACTCTTCTCTCTCCCTACCTCCTCTCACCTTTAACTTGTAGAGAGACGGAGTGAAGATCTCAGAATGACTCTTCTCTCTCCCTACCTCCTCCCGTCTTTAACTTGCAGAGAGACGGAGTGAAGATCACAGAATGACTCTTCTCTCTCCCTGCCTCCTCTCGCCTTTAATTTGTAGAGAGACGGAGTGAAGATCACAGAATTACTCTTCTCTCTCCCTACCCCCCCCCCCCCCCCCACCTTTACCTTGTAGAGAGACGGAGTGAAGATCACAGAATGACTCTTCTCTCTCAGCCTCTTCCCACCTTTAACTTGTAGAGAGACGGAGTGAAGATCACAGAATGAGTCTTCTCTCTCCCTGTCTCCTCTCACCTTTAACTTGTAGAGAGACGGAGTGAAGATCACAGAATGACTCTTCTCTCTCCCTGCCTCCTCTCACCTTTAACTTCAAGCGAAGGGGGGTCATTTGAGCGATCCGCGCCTATCTGATGAGGCAATTGCGAGCGCTCTTACGCAATCAATGCGTGTTTGCGTTTAATTAGCGGTGCCATTAGGAATCGGTGGCCAGGAGAAGCCCCTCAGCCGAGTCTGTGCGTGTGTGTCTGCGCGTGTGTGTCTGTGCGTGTGTCTGTGCGTGTGTGTCTGTGTGTGTGTCTGTGCGTGTGTCTGTGCGTGTGTGTCTGTGTGTGTGTCTGTGCGTGTCTGTGCGTGTGTCTGTGCGTGTGTCTGTGTGTGTGTGTGCGTGTGTGTCTGTGCGTGTGTCTGTGCGTGTGTCTGTGCGTGAGTCTGCGTGTGTGTCTGTGCGTGTGTGTCTGTGCGTGTGTCTATGTGTGTGTCTGTGCGTGTGTCTATGTGTGTCTGTGCGTGTGTCTATGTGTGTCTGTGCGTGTGTGTCTGTGCGTGTGTCTACGTGTGTCTGTGCGTGTGTCTGTGCGTGTGTCTACGTGTGTTTGTGCGTGTGCGTGTGTGTCTGTGCGTGTATGTGTGTCTCCGTTTCTGTGCGTGTGTCTACGTGTTTGTGCGTGTGTGTGTCTGTGTGTGTGTCTACGTGTCTGTGCGTGTCAACAGTGTGTGTGTGTCTGTGCTTGTGTCTACGTGCATGCGTCTGCGTGTGCGTCTGTGTATGTGTGTGCGTCTGCGTGTCTGTGCGTGTCTGTGCGTGCATCTGTGTGTTTGTGCGTCGGTCGGGAGTGGTGGTAGCGTAGCGGTTAACGCGCCGCGATAGAACCTGACCACCCAAGTTCCATTTCCGCTCAAGGCCAAAACCAGTGACGATTATATGAACCGGTCCTGGGCCTCCCCTAGGTCGACCCAGCCTCAAATTAGTACCTGGTGTGGTGTGTAAACATTGCCACTGGGGAGACAAAGGCGGTCGGGCGTGGTGCTGGCCACCCTCCCCCTCACGTGACGTGCCGGCCTTTATAGGTGCTCGCTAACAGCACTTGCCCCAACAATCTGTTGAAGGCTATGCGGGGGTTCTTTGTCTTTGTTGTGTGTCCGTCGCCTCCTCTGCGGTGGCTTTGTTCGAGTGACACGGTTATCGATCAGCGCGAGCACGAGCGAGCGACGCGGGGAATTACAATGGGTCACTCTGATAGTCACTCTGATGGACACTCCTGATAGTCACTCCTGAGAGTCACTCCTGAGAGTTACTGTTGGATCACTCCTGATAGTCACTCCTGATAGTCACCTCTGGCTCACTCTGATAGCCATCACTGTGTCACTCCTGAGAGTCACTCCTGAGTGTCACTGTTGGATCACTCCTGGATGACTCCTGATAGTCACTCCTGAGAGTCACTCCTGAGAGTCACTCCTGATAGTCACTCCTGAGAGTTACTGCTGGATCACTCCTGATAGTCACTCCTGAGAGTCACTCCTGAGAGTTACTGTTGGATCACTCCTGAGAGTCACTCCTGAGAGTCACTCCTGAGAGTCACTCCTGAGAGTCACCTCTGGCTCACTCTGATAGTCATCACTGTGTCACTCCTGAGAGTCAACCTGATCGTCACTTCTGAGAGTCACTCTTTGATCACTCCTGATATTCACTTCTGAGAGTCAACGTGATAGTCACTCCTGATAGTCACCTCTGGGCCACTCTCGTAGTCATCCCTGTGTCACTCCTGAGTCACCCATGACAGTCACCTCTCCGATGAAGTCTCTCGTCCCACCTCGTGCTCCTTCACCATCTCATCCCAAGCAGCATTCCGCGAGGGGTGTAACTTTAAAAAGATTAATCGGATAACGTAATCGATTATATTCGCTCAATATAAATGTTACCTGTATGCGAATGGGATGAAGGAGACAGACAAAACGAACAAGACAGAATGAGACAGCACAGATGAGACAGAGAGAACAAGACAATACGGTTAGACTGGGGGTGTGGGTGTGAGTGTGGGTGTGAGTGTGGTGTGGGTGTGAGTGTGGTGTGGGTGTGATGTGGGGGTGTGAGTGTGGGTGTGGTGTGGGTGTGAGTGTGATGTGGGTGTGATGTGGGGGTGTGAGTGTGGTGGGGGTGTGAGTGTGAGTGTGATGTGGGGGTGTGAGTGTGGTGTGGGTTTGAGTGTGGTGTTGGTGTGAGTGGGGTGGGGGTGAGTGTGGTGTGGGGGTATGAGTGTGAGTGTGGGTGGGGGTGTGAGTGTGGTGTGGGTGTGAGTGTGGATCTGAGAGTGGTGTTGGTGTGAGTGTGGTGGTGGTGTGAGTGTGGTGATGGTGTGAGTGTGTTGGGGGTGCGAGTGTCGGTGTGAGTGGGTGTGGTGTGGGTGTGAGTGTGGTGGTGGTGTGAGTGTGTTGGGGGTGTGAGTGTGGTGGTGGTAGTGGTGTGAGAGTGGTGGTGGTGGCGGTGTGAGTGTGGTGGCGGTGTGAGTGTGTTGGGGGTGCGAGTGTGGTGGTGGTGT